ATTTTTAAACATTTAAGTATATTTAAATAAAATTATATAAAATAAGCAGGAAAAGAGAGGGGAAAACCAGCAGAGAGAAGACTGGCTGGGAAGCACAGTAAAGTTACCCACAGAATTTTAAAAGTTATGGCTAATAATTGTATTTAAGTTTTTAACATTAGCAACCCCTTCCACCATCCCAATCAGTTCACCAAACACACACATACATAAATGCACTCTAGTGCATAAACACTCAAGTGTACACAACAACTAAAATGAATATACTGTTAAAAGAAAAAGAAAAAATTGGTTACTTTAAGGAATTCCAGGCTGGGGTGTAAGATTTGTACCACTGAATAATTTTTTATATCTTTTCAATACTTTTCCCTTGTGTCTCTTACCAATTCTGAGTGCCCCGGAGGGCAACAGTCCCCAATACTCTTAAACAATCCATTTTCACGTTTGCCTTTCCTCAAATAGGCCAAGCATGTTTCCTTCTCTGTTGTGGTTACGTGCCATCAAGTTGGCCCCGACTCATAGCGAACTCTCCTTGGGTTTCTGACGCAGTATTATTATGGAAGCAGACTGCTCAACCTTCCTTCCAAGGAGTGGCTGTTGTGTTTGATCCACCAGCCTTCTGGTTAGCAGTCAAGTGTGCTACCAGAGCTCCTGTTCCCTTCTCTAGGCCTCTGCAACTGCTCCCTCTGCCTGCAATATCCTCCAGATTTTCAAACGGTTAACTGCTCCCTCACTTCAAAACTCCATTTATGTATCATCATATAAAGGAAGAGACCTTCTTCCCTGTCTAAAATAGAACATACCCCTTACCCCTGCAATTATACCAGTCTCTATCCCCTTAACATATTTTTTTACAGCAATAATTATCACCATCTAACATTAAAAACTGTATTTATGTATTTGTACATTCTCTATATTCACCCACTAAAATACAAGCTCATTGAAATAAAGGTCTTTTGAAGGTCGTTTTTTCCTAGTCACTAGAATAGGACCTGGCACAAACCTAGGCTCAGTGCATACTTGATTTAAGGAATTAATACATTTGAAGGCGCATATCTGAGAAGTAACTATACAGCATGGATATATACTGCAGTGTTTCTCAACTTGAAGACATCATCAAATCTCTGGAAGAAAGTAACAGCATAGCTGGAAAGAGCTCCCCTACCTCTTTCCCAAAAGACACACATATATATACATATACCATGGCAGTAGCTGTTGAAAACCCTGGGCTGAAACTTCATCACCTCAATGAGGATTACTCAAGAAACACAGACTACCCAAACAAAGTGTGTCTACTACCCAGCTCAGATTATAAATTCGTTAAAGCCCAGCTGTATATTCCAAAAGGGATTCCATTTTCTATTATTTCAAACACACATGCCTTAATTTATTAAGTGGCACTAATCCACCTTTACAATCGGATTTTAACTTATGCTTCTTTTAGTTAAGAGAATGAAGTAGAGGTGGGGAAAAAGAAACACAATAAAAATACATGCTAAGACAGGAACTCCAGTTATACTGCTTTTCCATGGAAGGTAAAAATTTTATTTTTGAGGAACATCATTCATGCTGCACATTTTCAAAATGAGTGACACAAGAAAGCAAAAATGTTATCCCTCCCCTCATCCTAGAAATAAATAAGGGCATAAAATTTCTTTTTAAATCACAACACATGAAGTTTAGCACCAGCATCCAAAATGAACAAATAAGGAAAAAAAAAGCATTTACTATATATTTCAGATTTCTTTGGTTGGGGTTCTCCCCATGTGATATTAATATTTCTTCTTTCAATTCATATTACCAAAACAGTACAAACCAGGAAAAAAATATATAAACCTAGTGGTTGCTGAAACTGGGGAGGTTGCTCTCATCTTCTGTGCAGGCATTCCTGGGATCTGTTTGCTGGAAATTGTGCTGAGATTTTCCTTTTGCTTGTTTCTTAAAGAATAATATAAACATTCTATGTCCAAATCTTGGTTAGTCGTCACTTTATTGCTTGAATGTTTCTTTGGTGTTGCTAAAGTCATGATCTTTTGTTTGTTTGCTTTTTGTTTTGTTTTGTTTTATTTTTGCTTTGTTTTATTTTTTGGATGGTCATTATTTCTTTAGGTCACCTGGAAAAGAGAGAATTCAAAGATATAGAGTGATAAAATGACAGAGAATAAAAAGGCAAAAATCACCTGTTTTTCATGTAATTTAAAAACAAAAACCTATTTCAAAAGGAACTAGTTTATTATAACCTCACTGCCATCGAGTGGGATCCGACTCATAGCCGACCCTTCCTTGGGTTTCCGTGGCGGTATCACTACGGAAGTAGATTGCCCAATCTTCCTTCTAAGGAGTGGCTGGTGGGTATTTGAACCGCCATCCTTCTGGTTAGCAGTCAAATGCCTTAGGCACTACGCCACCAGAGCTCCCTAAACAAAATTTACATATTCTATGGATTTATTAAATATATTAATTTAATATAAACTCTTACTAAACCAAAAACTCTTACTAAACCAAAATTGTTGAGTTAATTCCAACTCATAGCAAACCTATAAGACAGGACAGAGTAGAATTGCTCCCCAAAGGGTTTCCAAGGCTGTGCATCTTTTACCGAAGCCTCATCTTTCTCCTCTGCAACAGCTGGTGGGTTCAAAGCACTGACCTTTTGGCTAGCGGCTAAGCATTTAACCATTGTGCTACCAGGGCCTCTAATACATATAAACTCTTACTTTGTAATGTTTTTATAAGTCAGAAGAGTCAATACATAAAAACAATAAAAACTTTGCAAAATTATCTATAGTCCTGTCACCATGAAGCCTTTACAAATAAGCAATACTAGAGCATTAATAACTATATTAGTGTCTGCAGCACAATATTTACTAATGTGGATAAATAATTATGGAACCATTTTTCATAATGTCAGATTGTAGACAGAATTCTTTCTTTCCTATATTTCCTATATTTTGGATCTCCTTAGCAGCAATACAGAGAAATAATGTTACTGCGTAAAAAGTTACAGATGTTTTTAAAACATAGATACTTACCTCTTAACTCAGTTAATGCAAGCCAGTTGAAATAAGAATTTATTTGTATGATAAAGCATTCATGTTACCCAGAGATAAAAGAGAATAATCCTAGCATAGAAAAAATTTGACCTGATGTATAACCAAACAAAATTGTCAACCCAGTGTAATCTAGTTAAAAGGGTACTAGATGAAACACCAGAATAAAAGCACCCATGGCTTATAAACACTTTTAAGATTGGCTCCATAATTGGATCAGCCTTTCTAGCTATATATCTACCTATATTAGTAAAATTTCAAAGGTCTGTAACAAAAAAACAGAACAAAATAGATGACAACAATGATTAAGATAACAAGCTAACCCTTCTAAGAACAAAGCATTTTACAGATTATTTCATTTAATCCTTGTGACAACCCTAGTAGTTAAGTAGAGTTAGTATTGCCATTTTACCAGTCGCAGAGATTACTGGCAGAGGATAAATCAACTGCTCAAGATCACCCAGCAAATGGATAGTAGACCTTGCACCGAAAACCAGACAATCTGGTTATAAACTCCTTGGTTCTTGCACATATATTGTACTGCTTCAAAATAAATAACGCTAGTTATCCAAAAAAAAGTGGGGGAAGAAGAAAAAACAGTCTAGTTTATGCTATACCAAAACTAAACTCACAGCCATCCAGTTGATTCTCTCAGGAGCCCCCATTGGATTTCTTGGGTTGTAAATCTTTACGGAAGCAGACTGCCCGCTCTTTGTGCCACAGAGTGGCTGGTGGGTTCTAACCACCAACTTTTTGGCTCAGTAGCCAAATGCCTTAACCACTGTACCACAAAAGCTCCTTAATTTATGCTATAAAACCAAACTCACTGCCATCAAGTTGATTCTGACTCATAGTGATCCCCACTGGGTTTCTAAGGCAGTAAATCTTTACAGAAGTAGATTGCCTCATCTTCCTTCCACAGAGCAGCTGGTGGATTTGAACCACCAACCTTCTGGTTAGTAGTCAAATGTCTTAGGCTCTACGCCACCAGAGCTCCTCAGTTTATGCTATGTTGTTATGTGCTTTTGAGTCAGACGCGACTCATAGCAACTCCTCCTTGGGTTTCCGAGGTGCTATCACTGCAGAAGTAGACTGCCCAACCTTCCTTCTGAGGAGTGGCTGGTGGGTCTGAACTGCCAGCCTTCTGGTTAGCCGTCAAGTGCCTTAGGCACTATGCTACCAGAGCTCTTTAAAACTATCAGGAGTCCTGGTGGCACAGCAGTAAAGCACTCTGCTAACTAAAAGTTCAGCAGTTTAAACCCACGAGCCACTCCATAGGAGCTCTGGTAGCAAAGTGCCTAAGGCACTTGACCACTAACCAGAAGAAGGCTGACGGTTCAAACCCACTAGCCACTCCTTGGAAGGAAGGTTGGGCAATCTACTTCTGCAGTGATACCACCTCGGAAACCCAAGGAGGAGTCACTATGAGTCAGGTCCAATTCAATGGCACATAACAACAGCAGCAGCTGCTCCACGGAAGATGATGATGCAGTCTGCTTTTGTAAAGATTTACAGCCTTGGAAACCGTATGAGGCAGTTCTGCTTTGTCCTACAGAGTCGCTAGGAGTTGGAAACGACTCAATGACAATGGTTTTTAAAATTATCAATTGGCCACCAGGTGTCATAAACGTTTTCCTAAGTGGTAGTAGTTAAAAACTTCCTGTCTAGAAGAGAATTTGACTATCAACATTGAATATATATGCCCCCAAAGCCTAGAAAATAAGGTTGAGTCCAAAGATATGTAACCACCAATATGGCTTTTCTTCATAGAATCCCAAAGCAGATAAGGGGCTTGCACAGATGAACTGAAGAGCTACTTTGGACTGATCTTCTATTTTATTACAGTACTCATGTTGAAAAATCAATGGTATTTAAAATGAAATAGCAAATGCACACTGTGGAGCCGGAGCTCTTACCTGCAGATGTTGAAGGTGCCTGGGGAGCCAGGTGTTACTACTCAGCACTGCTCTGCTCGGTGGCCGGAGCAGGGTTCTCAGTTGGTGCTTCACCTGCCTTGGTCTAAAAAGACAAAACAAAACCACAAACCAAAAATGCAATTTTTTTTTTTTTTTATCTAAGTGTCAAATTATCAGATTATAAAACGATTCTTCAAACTGCTAGTTTGACGTGATGGAGATGACTTGGCCATATCCGCTCTGACTGACTGAATTTACTTACCTCTTTGCCATCTTGTGAAGGAGCATTAGGGTTAGGAGGACGGGGGCGGCGCCGGTAGTTGTACGGACGCCGGTATCCACGGCGAGCAGATGGCTGGTTTGGACCATTGGCTGCTTGTTGATTCTCTTTATCTTCGACCTCTCCAACAGCTGGGGCAGGTCGTGGGCGAGGAGGTCCCCTACAGCAGAGAACACAAAACAAAAGAGAACCAGTGCAATAGGACAGGGGCCTCAGGAAGAGAATATTTTCTTTCTTTTTAAAGACAGTAAGTCCACTGATCAGCCCTAATCGCTAAATTATTCACAGGCCAATAGAGCTAATATATACATTGTAAAGAACCTTATTTCATATAATTTCCCCCCTTTGTTTGAATACGTATTTGCAGTACACAAATACGTGCTGAGCACATACTATGCTGCCACCAGGCACTCTGATAGCCACTAAGGATGGGGGGAGAAACTAAAACGTTGTAGTCTTATATCTGTTCTCTATGACAGACTTCAGTGGGGATTACAGGAATTAAATAGGGAAGGAAAACACCATTTTCAACTATGTACCAGGGCCTTTTGGTAGGTATGTTCTTGTATTAAATATTTAATCTAATCAATGGCAATCCTGTGAGTTAGGTTTATATTGAGAAAACCAAGAGGTTTAAAGAAGGTATGTATTTGGCTGACTCATAGGGAACTGTTGCTTTTATAAGTTATAAGTCAGACGTTGCTTTTATAAGTTGCTTTTATAAGTCAGACATTACTTTCCCAAGGACACACAGCCAGGCATTGATAGAGCTGGGAGTCACAGATAGCACTGACTCCTTTCTGTTTCAATAAAACACTTTTATGAAATGCTTATTTTGAAAGTCCTTAGTAATTAGTAACTAGAGAGATCATGTTGAAAATGGCAATAAATTTTATGAGGAAAAGGAGGTAGTAGACTGTTACAAAGCCTTTATCAAAACATTATATTTATTTTCCTTTCAATAAACCTACATTGATAAATATCAGGGTAGTATAAACATCATTCATGAAAAAGGTGACACTTGAAGACAGGGTAAAAGGAAAAACAGCCTTAAAATATAAAATGTGCAAAAAGGACCTTAAGCAATGTAACTCAATTCTCAGTTTTTGTAAGGGATAAAACACAAATAAAATAACTTCTTCCTTCACTAACATTAACATCACTGGTAGTAATGATGTCCAATATTTATTGGGGGTTTTCTATATGAAGCACCATACTAATTATTTCTGACACATAAGTGCATTTAATCCTAACAACAGTTATATACAATGTCTTAATATCCATTTTATAGACCTGATGACTAAGACTTAGAGTCCAGGAACTTGCCCATGCACATGTAGCTACTAAATTGCAGAGCAGGAATTTAAATGAAGGCAACTTGGTTCACAGCCTGATTTAACCCCTCTGTTAGACTGCCTCTGTTAGCAGAATATTCTATGCCCAAATTCTCTGGCATTCAATTCTTCCTCCATTTGTACCAGCACCTTTGAATTCCCAAACAATTAACTTTCTATTTTATTCAATTTAAAAAGTATTACGTATTAGTTAATATCATGTGAAAGTTACACACTACAATTAGCACTCTGGCACAGAGATGACTAAAAATTCTGAAAACATATACTCAAGAATCCGAGAAAACTCCAGCGTGTAACAAAAGCAGCCACATCTTCTAAGTGTATAATAAATTCACAAAACAGACACAAAATACCCTGATTTATCTTACTGTCACTCACAAGTCCCTCAACCAGTCTTAGTTGGTGGAAAATGCTACATACCTACGGTACCTTGGGCGGTAAGTTGGATTTCGATGAACTGGCCCTTGAAGTTGTGCTCCCTCTGGGACTCCATCCTTCATCTCTCCAATCTCACCAGCCTAGAAGAGGGAAAGAAGAAAGCTAAAAATGAGTGTGTCATGCTAGAGGGTAGAGATACAGAGCACACAGACGCATTCTGCATTTAAAAGAAAAAGAAAAAACCTGAAAGTAAAAGGTTTCATTACAAAGGTGGATACTCTCAGGTATAACTACTGTAAACTATTTATTATCGCCTTTGTGGAAGACAGGAAAGGAAGAAAAACTCAGTCACAGTGCAACAATCTTTTGCCTTATCCCAGAGTACCAAATTTTATGTCATAATATTAACATTTTGAAATTTAAACTGTTCCATTCATCTCTTGAAAGAAAGTCTATTTTATAACAGGAAATGCAATGTTATACATTTGAGCAATAAGATCTTTTCAATTTTTTTAAACTTCAACCTTCCAATTCTACAAATCATTATCCTCTGACTACTATTAATAATATCTACATTCAAAGGGTCTTCTGCTCTTGGCTCTGAAGCTTTGCATCTCAATGCTAACCACACCTTCACCTCTGATTTCTTCCTTTCACAATTTACTCCTTTTGTCACCTTCCATTAATTATTCAAGAATAACATTTTTAAAAATACATTATATCTCTCCTTGATAACAAATCCATTTTAGACTGGGAAAACTAAACTAATTTAACGTAGAACTTCCCAAAATTAGAACAGCTAACAAACAAAATACCCATCAACAATCTCTGAAATTCTTTACAATACTACCATAACTCAAACTTCTTTTCCTTTTTTCAAAATCGGCATCACTTCCTCCTCCTCACAGCTGAATATTGTCTTTCCTATTTCACTAAGGAAATACAAGCATGCCTCTTAATATTGCACTTCACAGCTACTGTGTTTTTAATAAATTAAGTTTGTGACAACCTTGCATCAAAGTCTTTCAGCAGCACTTTTCCAATACCATATGCTCACTTCGTGTCTCTGGGTCACATTTTTTGTAATTCTCACAATACTTCAAACTTTTTCACAATGCTGTTATATATTTAATAGACCACAGTAAAGAGTAAACATTAACTTTTGCATGCACTGGGAAAGAAAAAAATTCATGAATCGCTTTATTACGATATTCACTTTATTGTGGTGGTCTGGGAGTGAACCCGCCTGCAATCCCTTGAGGTATGCCTGTAGAAGATACCAGAAAAGAATCATCTACATTTTCCCCTTGTCAACTCTGCCAGCCTTTCTGCATTTGTATAAATTTTCTTGTTGCTTCCATTACACTGGATGAGTGGTACATGCTCCTCTTCAAAGCCAACTGCTCCATCTGTGTTCTCCTTGACCACCAGGGCACTGTAGCTATCCCCTCTTCTCACCTTCACTATAAAAATTTTCCCTCTCTACACCATTATTTCTATGGAAACATGTAAGCATGTTGAAATACCACTTTTTTTTTTCTTAATTTTTTAACAGAAAAGTTAAAAGCATTGACTCTAATCCTGAAACCTCATTCAAGTTTCACTAGCTGTCTTAATGCCCTTTTCAACAAAAGGTTCCCACTGGGAATCAGGCATTGAATTTAGTTGTTGTGTCTCTTTGTCTGGAAGAGTGCTTCAATCTTTACTTGGTTTTCACGGCCTTGACGCTACTAGAGATTACAGGCCAGCTATTTTGTAAAATATCCTTCACTTTGGGTTTGTTTGAGATTTCTTCAGGATTAGGTTCAGATTATATATCTTTGGTGGAGAAATCTCAGAAGTGGCACTGCCTTCCTCTCACTGCATCCTGCCAGGTAGCATATGGTTTCAGTTTTTACTATTAGTGACAATGTTCCCTTGGAAAAGTGGCCATGGTAGTATCTGCCAGGCTCCTCAAGTTTACTTTTTTCCCCTCCTCTTTGTAATTAATTAGTGCTTTGTGAGGAAGCAATTTTAAAATATGTAAATATCTCATTCTACATCAAATTTTTAGCATATTCATTTATATCTGTATGGACTCATGTTTTTCTGTTTTATTCAATGGGTTATAATCTGTTACTATCATTACTAGCTAATGGAAACCTTGCAAGCTGGCTCATGTCCTTTTGACTTGTCTCCAACATTCTTTGAGTACTCCTTTGCTTTCTGGCACAACAAGATGTTCCAGGATCATATTGTACTTTCCCTGTCCCAGCTCTGGAATCAGTCATTTCTCCAAAGGAGCTTCCTTATATCACAGAATGAGATACAGAAATCAAACCCACTGCCATCGAGTCACTTCTGACTCACAGAGACCCTTTAGGACAGAGTAGAATTGCTCCATAGGGTTTCCAAGGCTGTAAATCTTTACGGAAGCAGACTGCCTCATCTTCCTCCCATGGAGTGGCTGGTGGGTTCAAACCACCGGCCTTAGCAGTTGAATGATTTAACAACTATACCACTGGAGCTCCTTATAGAAACCAAAGGAGGTGCACAAATGGTTTAAGTGCAGGACCACTAGCTGAAAGGTTCATAGTTTGAGTCCACTCAGAGCCATCTCAGAAGACAGGCCTGGCCATCTGCTTTGAAAGGTCACAGACTTGAAAACTTTATGGAACAGTACTTCCTCTGCACACTTGGGGCACCATGAGTCAGAATGTACTTAATGGCAACTAATAACAACAACAGGAACAAGTGTGCTCAATGATATTATGGTGCTATTGCTTTCAAACCTTTTCAGTAGACACAAGTTAGGAATATCCACATATGTACACACATGCACAAACTATAAATTACATATGTATGTCAATGTGTATATCTCCAAAAGATTCTTAGTGAAGTTTTAATAGTTATGTTTCTACCCACCAGCCATTCCTTGGAAGACTGGGCAATCTACTTCCATAGAGATACCACCTTGGAACCCAAGGAGGGGTCGCTATGAGCTGGATCTGACTGGATGGCAGTGAGTTTTACAATACATAAGGAAGATGGGGCAATCTACTTCTGTAGTGATATTGCCTCAGAAACCCAAGGGGGGTCGCTATGAGTCGGGTCCCACTCAATGGCACATAACAACATATATATATATATATATATATATATATATACACACACACATGCATACATATACACAAACTCACACTAATAATATATATACATATATGCATGTGTGCGTACACATATATGTCTGTATGTATACATATATTTAAAGATACAGCTATAGAAGTAGATACACATAACTAAGTTCTCATTAATAGTTTCAATTCTAATCCAACAACACAGGCTCTTAGAATTCCTTCTAGTTTTGTATTTTCCCTCTCCAATAATAAGAAACCCAGCTTTCATTATCTTTAAGATAACTACCTGTTTATCATGGATAGCCAGAAGAACAAACAAATCTATCTTGGAGCAAGAGCAGCCAGAATGATCCTTTGAAGCAAGAACAGTCTTCATTTCTAGTACTTTGTTCATGTTATTAGAAGAGACCAGTCCCTGCAAAAGGATGTTGTGCTTGGTAGAGTCAGCAAAAAAGGGGAAGACCTTCAGTGAGATGGACTGACACAGTGGCTGCAACGATGAGCTCAAGCATATCAACAATTGTGAGGATGGCTCAGGACCGGGCAGTGTTTCGTTCTGTCATACACAGGGTTATATGAGTCAGAACAGACTTGATGGCAAATAACAACAACTATGCAACCAATCTCCCATCTCTCCTATCACCCCTTGCCCTGTACAGATACCTACATTGATCTGTCCTACCTAATGGCTTTAGGAGTAAGTTGCTGGTGAGGGAAGAGGAAAGTGAGACCAGGGAGAACTCACCTGTTGGAAAAACCTAACCAAATCAAACAAAAACCTTATCTTAACCCATATCCTCCTTCACCGACCACCCCATTTTCTGAGTTTTTTTTTTTTTTTTTTTTTTACAACATACATACCGAAGAAAAGCCACCACTACCAGCATCACCTCCAGAAGTCTCTCAAAGGGGCATATGCTGTCTCTGCTCTTGTTTTCTTTTGAATTCTTTCTAATGATACTTTGTCCATGAAATACCCACCAACCTACAAGTTATCAAATCCAATACTCTATTCTCAGCTTAGCTTCCTCCACGTATCAACAGTATTTCCTTCTTGAAATATTCTCCCTGACTGCTCCTTCTAACTTTCCCTTACTAGATCCTTTTTTCTACCCACATTCATTTTATTTTCAATCTCATGCTACACTATACTTTCACCTATCATGTTTCTATGACTCCAGAATTATATCCACAGTTGCATTTGTCTCCGTCAGACCCCTCTGGCTTTTATACTTGCCCTTCCTTCCCTTGCTATTCATCCCTTTTCCAGATACCTGAGTGACTCCCTCCCAGGCTTCATTTCAATCTCAAATATCACTTATGGAGCCCTGAGGACTTTGCCACTCACCCTATCTACACTTTGTCCAGCAACTTTTTTACTCTCTTCTATTTGATTTTTCTGCCTATTTAATAGTGCAAAAAGACCTCTATATAATTCCACCTCACCCTTTAAACCCAATTCTTCTTCAGTCTAGTAACATTACAGCTATGGTTTACTTCTCTCTCACACCCACATTCACTCCATCAGTACACAATGCTGTCAGCTCTACATTTAAACATCTCCCAAATCTGACCAATTCACACATTTTCCATTGCTAGCACTCTAATCCAAGCCACAACCATCTCTCCACCAAAAAATGACAGTGGCTGGTCTCCTGACTTCTAGTGGTATCCTGTGATCTAATCTCTATAGAACAGTTAAAATGGGCTTTTAAATGTTTTTATGCAGTAAAGATCTTTTCACTGGTTTCTCATCACATTTAGAATAGGCCAAATGTCCTGACCACAGTCTACCAGGCATGCCTGAACTGCTGTAAGCTATCACCTTAGTCTCCCCTTCTGCCCTTTTCTCACTTAGCTCACGCTATACCAACCACATGAGCCTCCCTTTAGTTCCTTGAACAAGTTCTCCTATTCCTTCCTCAGAGACTTTGATTCACAAGGAAAAAAATACTGACATTAAATTTGCACATATGAAGGATGGGAATCTACTATCCAGTGACAGAATATGAAGAACATGGATTTGGAGCCAAAGTTTAAATGAAGCTCCATCATATCACTTCATGCTCATTTAATCCTGAGCTATTTATTTTTAAATACTCCAATCTGTTCATCTGTAAAACCAACAACAGTATAAACATGGAAACTACTGCCAACTTCGTAAAGGCTGTTAGGAAGATTGAATAACTGATTTTAAATTCCTACCACTTGGTAGTTGCCACACAATGCAATGCTGCTCTCTTCCCTCCATCATATAATTCTCTTCTCAAAAGTTCCAAGTCATTGACAGTAGCTCATTAACCAATTCTACTTAGTTTTCAAATATGCAGAACTACTAACTACCTCTTTAAAGATGGGAATCATTCAGTCACTGATATATCATGCTGTCTTATGTTCTTAGTACATTACGTAAGTACCATTGGCCTGTATACTACCATTTGCCCGATGTGTCAATAAATTCCATAGTGTTGTATATAATAAAAAATAGTGCCAATGATTTTTCTATTTGACATCCTTCATTTTTCTCACCCTGAAGATCCACCTATACTTTTAAGCCATTATACCAATAACCTTAAAGTAGCCTTGTTTTATGGAACAAAATTTTACGAACTTTCATTTCATGCTATTGATTTGCTTTAACAGACTTAAGTCACTGAACACCCAAAAGGAGTATGCAACAAAAAAAGAATCTAAGAATCCACTGTTGAAGTTGATAGCTTTTCTCTTAGACATCAAATGGGTAAGAAATTCCACTTGCATTAAAAACAAAAACAAAAACAAAAAAACCTAAATGTGTTTCATTTACGAGAATAAACATACGTTTTCAAAATTAGTTTCAACCAGTTTCTGCAAATTACTTTGCCCTGATGCTCTGAACCTTCTATTCCTCAAGTGGAATATATCTTTATTTCAAAAGATGTGGAAAAGAGCACACCATTGCGCTCTCAGCAAATATGATACACACGCATATGCTCCACACTGAGAACGATTACTTCAGGAAGGCACTAAGAACTCACTACAATAAATGTACATTACAGCCTCATGGACTCTTCCTGTCCTCATTCCTTACAAGCAGAGTGCTGACCTAAAGAAACCTACTATGTCTCATGTACCCAATCCCTCCATATACGAAGGTCTACTTGTTATTTTTAGCACATTTGTCAGGAGCAGCTGTTGAAGAGTGGAAGGGGAAAACAAGAACAACATAAAAAGAACATAGTCATGCATGATGGGATAGAAGGGTAGCAAAGTACAGAACTGAACATAATGTTCAGTCAAAACATTTAGTCTTTAAAAAAAAAAAAAAACCCAAGCACACTAAGGAGAAGGAAAAAAGTTGTAGCCAGTGATAACAAAAATGATAACCTATCTCTAGTTTTCCAAGTTTCCTGGGAACTGCAAAGTTGGCATAATGTTTATTAATCATAGATCAATTCATGTCAGCTGCAGCTACAATATTTTACAGTAAAAGAGGAGAATTGTATAACCAACAATCTCCATTTTTATTAAGTTTTTCTCAATGAAAAACCACCATTTCATCTAAACTAAGTACTTTATAAATATTATCTCTGTCAAAGGCATTAGGCTAAACTGTTTACATTTCATTCAATACTCATAACCCTGTGATACAGGCACTATTACCCACATTTAATGGATGGACAAATAACTCTCTCTTAAGCTTGGTTTTTCTCAAAACCTCAGAGAAATAAATAGCAGAGACAGGATTCAAATTCAGGCCGATCTGGTTTTAGAGTCCAAACTCTTTTTAACATCCCATCTGTCTCTTTAGCTTGTTACTTTTATTCTATTATAAAAGAGGACCTTCACCCTATCTACCAGTAGGTAAGGCTCATGTAGTAGTATCTTTAGAAAAATGTTAGTGGACTGATTCCTCAGAAAAAGTAGGCTAAAGGCCTTGCCTCAACTTTTGTAGCATCTGGAAGCCACAAGCAAAGTTCTAATCCCGGCAGCTGGTGGTGGAGGAGGAGGAGGAAGAAGAGGCAGAGGAAGGACCAGGGGTGAGGACTGCTGAAGAGAAGTCTCAGGTGCAATTTTACCTGCATTCTGTTGGGATGGGGAAAGACCCGAGAGCGACGGTCAAAGGTCTGTCCCACGTGGTAAGGCGGGAACCGCCGCTGCCGGTACTGAGGGCGATACTGGGGGCGGCGCAGCTGACTCCGGGCCCCAAAGAACTGCCCGTCAGTGGCAGGGGGGTCAAATCCTTCACTGCTGCCGCTCCCTTCCTCCTCCTCCTCCCCAGCGTACTAGCGAAGCAAAGAAACAGAGATTCAGAAGAAGTTTCAGCAAGGGAAGAACCAAAGAATACCATTCAGGATGAGTATCACCAAAAACCAGAAACATGTCCCAAAATGAATAATCCCTTTAATTACACAAAATGCATTTAACCCAGATTATCATGTGATTGATCAGCTGGGATAAACTACATTAAGACTGAAGTAGATCAGTGCAGATAAAATACCAAGAAGCAGAAAAGCAAGAGCAATCAACCTATTATGAATTTAATACTCCTTTAATTAGCACTGGTAAATATCAGTTGGCGAACCACCCAAAGAATATTTACAGGGTTTGTAATATTTAGTTCTGTCCAGCATGTCTCCCAACATTTGCCATTCACTGGGGCCAAGTCAGAATATTTTGTGGTTATCAATAGGTTTTAATTTCAGAAAATGTCACCATTCTACTCTTCACACACCCTATTAATATGAGGTATGATAGCCAATTATGTAAAGATATTTGTATAATGTTCACCAAAATATTAAGTGTGAGACAGTATAAACTGCTTTCCCCTTTAGGCTTTTCTATATCTAAGTTTTATAAAGCCAATATTTATAAAGCCTTATTATTATAAGGGCACCACCTCCAAGTACGCTCTTGAAACATACCCAATAAGCCATGAGGACTTAAAGACATCGTAACAGAAAATCTTCATTTAAGTATAATTTCAGAGATTGAACAATTTTATTTCTAAGTATCTTTTGCATGTATAACTTCATAATTTCCAGGTCTCTGAGTGAAGCAAAGACTTTAAAAGAAAATTTTTCATTCAAGGTTTTTCCCACTTTTACTTCTGAATTAAACTAGAATCAAAATAATCACAGCTAGAGCTCTGTCAATCTGATGAGCCTGAATGAATTAACATGATATAGTAAATGTTATACTATAGTAGCTCATTCCTACTCCCACTCCTATCCCCACCCCCCAAAGCTTAGATCGTAATCAAATAAACAAAAAAAAAACCCGTTGTCATCAAGTTGATTCCAACTCAACCGTACTGGGCAGGGCAGCACTGCCCCATAGTGTCTCCTAGGCTAAAATGTTTGCAGGACCAGATCATTAGGTCTTTCCTCCTATAGAACAGCTGGTGGGTTCGAACTGCCAACCTTTCAGTTAGCAGCCGAGTGCTTAACCACCGTGCCACCAGGGCTCCTTTCTATAATCTAATAGGATAAAGGAAAACACAAGGGTGAGTAAAAGACGAAAGCAGATAAATGAGATAGCCTGAGGTATCTAATAAATATCAATTTGGGCAGGATGTGAAGGTGACTAAAAAAGAAAAGCTATTAGGCAAGCAAAAAGACAAGACCATGAAAATAAAGGCATAAGTCATTGTCAATCTGCAGATATTTTATTCTGGAGAGATTTTTCAAGTTTTTGAAATCCTGTGATCACAAAGCATCACGTGTTTTATTCTCTGATGCCAATCTCAGGTACTAACTCTGTTGTTGTTGTTATGTGCCGTCGAGTAGGTCCCAACTCATGGTGACCCCTCCTTGGGTTTCTGAGGCAGTATCACTATGGAAGTAGATTGCCCAACCTTCCTTCCGAGGAGTGGCTGATGGGTTTGAACCGCCAGCCTTCTGGTTAGCAGGCAAGTGCCTTAGGCACTATACTACCAGAGCTCCCAGGTACTAACTCTAGAAACATCAAAAACTGATGCAAATCTTAAGAGGGTCCTCCTCATGACTACAAGTCATTTGGGGTCATCTTGGGTGCCTTGAAAAGACTCCTAATTTTAATCCCCTAAAGAAGTTCTAGCCAGACTTACTTATAAACCCTTTCATCTAAATTTAACACAATCTAAACTAAAATTCCAGAATTACTTATTATTTCTTTACTTTAAAAGAGTGGAAAATTTGGAGCTAACTAGCTACTTAATCAAGGTAAATCATGTACTACTTCACTGGCCAGCACTGATTATTGTCTATTCAAGAGCTATTTTCCATTATTTCTTACTAAACTGATTTTCCTAGAGCCCCAAAGGATGAATGGCTAAGTTTAAGCCAAGAAATTACATTCCCCTTTGCCAATGACTGCCATATGACTAAGTTCTGGCCAGATAAAAGAGCCAAATGAAGAGCAAGTCTTTTTGACTACCTTGGCATTGCTGATCCTCATTAAGCCATCTGGTTACGAGAGAATTAAACGTCCTGTCCTTGTGGTCAAATACAATCTAACTGATACAACTTTTGAATGGCAAGTTTTCAAAGCAGTTAGACCAGTGGCCATGGATAAATTCTGGCACTGAACATATTTCCCCTGAAATACAGACAGACAGACAGACACACACACACACACACACACATTAAACTGTAGATGTAAAAGATGTTCAATCACTGCTTAGCAGCAGAGACAACATACATTACGGGGAGGTCCACGGCGTCTGCCATAGTAGCCACGTCGGTAACGGCGACGATCAGCAGCATACCGGCTCCCTTCCACAGGAACTCCATCGGGGCCAGTCACATTGGCTGCTTCTGCACCCTGAGAAAGAGAATAAACAATGATGGCCTAGAAATTTAAAAGAAGACAAACTAAACCAAAAAAATAGCCTTAAATTGCCAGAGTGTAAGACTGGCAGAATGCACAAAGGATTCTTGTCGTGACCTCAAAAATGCACCCGAGTTCTAAAAAGGTGAGCAAAGTATTTAATGTTCTAATTTAAATGTACACAGTTTCTAGTTTGTTTACATAACCTAAACCTTGCTTTTTTAAGTGATTAGATAAATTCAAGAGCAGTCTGTAACTCTTTAAAGAGCACAGGCCAATAAATATAAAAGTATAAGAATTGTTAGACTACAAAGATTATGCCTCAACGGTAAAGAACTGAAATACTGCTATCTTCTTAGAAAATGGGGAAATCCATTTTACGCTAAGAGGTACCAAGAAAATCACTCTTGTGGCTTTGTCCAGTGATGACTAACTGAGAGTCAAACTTCTCCCATCTGGGCAGCAACAGGAAGAAAGGACACTTGCTTTAGTAACACACAGGGTTTTGACATTATGTAGTTACTTTGTAGTGCCTTCCTAAAAGTTGCTATGAGTCACAAGGGACTGCACACCAGAAAGTAAGTCTCAGAAACAGAGGTATAGTTCTAATTCTCATATGGACAAATAGTGTAAAAGAATGCTGCAAAAGATATAAAAAATTTGGGACACGCAAGATTCAAGACTATACTTCCCATTTTGAATCAATATGTAAAACCTTAAGTTCTAACACACCTAGAGATAAAATTAACCTGGCAAAACAAAATTGTAAGATTTACGTGGAATATCACAGATCACAACAGGCCAGCCATTTCCTGGGGGGTTATCTGAAACTCCAAGAGATTTGCAAGATCCCCTTGGAATCACATTGGTAAAGGCATCCATTCAACTTACTATAGCAAATGAAGTTAGTTAAATGGTTTTTCCTTTAAGAAAGAACAGTTTAAGAATCCCAGAATATATGGAATAAGGAGTGTGGTGTATGTGTCTGTGTGTGTGTGCACACGTGCATAGAATCAGCACATGCACAGTAGTTGACAGGAGTCCAAAATAATGTGAATTCATAAGGAGCTAAGACCATTTATTGTGCAACAAAGCCATGTGCCAGCCCACTTTGCTACAAAATGAATGAGAAAAAACCCAACCACGCTTCGCTCTCACCTTCTCTCCTTCAACCACATCAAACTCTACAGTTTCTCCATCTCCTACACTGCGCAGATATTTCCGTGGATTATTCTTTTTGATGGCAGTCTGTCACGGGAACAGAAAATTTTAAATGAAGTATATGTCAACAATGGTCACTTATTTTATTGCTCTCAAGAGTGAACCTGAGGAAACTTCAATCTATTTTTACTCTGTAATAATGTAAGCCTCCAAAGTAACAAAACAAAACACTATATTCCACATTACTTTCCTGACTCATGCTATTCTTTAAAAGCCACCGTGGTAGGTAGGATAAACAGTGTATAGTTATTACAGTTTCTTTATAACCTGATCACTTAGTCATGATATTGGATATATCAATTACATCAAACCTTTAAGCTTCTGAGAGTCAGAGTGCAGATCCATCAGCAGGAGACGGGGTAGGAGGGAGACAGGAAAACATCACACACACTCACAAACACACCTGTGAGGAACTGAGGTCTCTGTACACAAGAGAAACTGCTGACCAGAAAAGGAATTAAAAGTGTGGGGAGCCATGATGAAAAACAGACTGAAAGAATGAAAAGATGCTAAGGGTCTAAATACTTCTGGTACAACCTATATAATTACTTTGGGAATCAAGACATATTAGTGAAAATCTGCCCCATGCCTCAATTTTATGGATGATGAAACATGAGGTTGACAGTTACATGATTTATCTGAGGTTACAAAAGTGAGAGGTATTACTATGATGTTGTTTTTGTGTACCACGGAGTCAGTTCTGCCTCCTGGCGATCCTACAGGACAGAACAGAAATGCCCCGAGGGGTTGCCAAGGTTGTAATCTTTATGGAAGCAGATCATAGAGTCTTTTCTACCACAGAGCGGCTGGTGGGTTCAAACCACTGGACTTTCAGTTATCAGCCAAGTGCTTAACCACTGCACCACCAGGGATCCTTAGCTACTACTATGGTGGGAAGAAATTACTATTGCTGTACTATATATGATATTTATTCAGTATTTTCCCCACTACACTATTTATGTGTCAACTCATCCATACATGTTTCCTGATAATACACTTAAAGGTTAATGAAGATGCTAGTCTGCATTAAAAGTATCCACCTAAATATCTGCTTATGAACAGGCCTCTTCTTTTTTCCAGTTAATGCAAGGGAGAAAACAATTCCTGCAATTAATTTCCATTTCTTTGACCGGTATCTCTAAACAGTTAAAGGGGACTTTAGTTTCTATGGAATTAGGTCAACCTTATTTTATAAGACGATTAGACATGTGTAATCTAGCCCTTCCCCTTCTCTGAGTAGGAAGGAGGAGGAAAAAAAAAAAAAAAATGAGCCAATAGGGCAGAGACCTCACCCACAGAGAAAAAAGCCAGTTCAGGACAGGATATATGTGCACGCAGCATGAGCATTCAGCCATTCCAAAAACAGCCCCTCCCTGCCGACTCCTTCCCTGTTTCCTGTTCAACAGGGCAGGCCTCAACACATTGGAGTGACTCACCACACAACCTCATGGGGCTGGAATCAGGTCATATACTTACAGGCTAATAAAGCTGGCCACCAGAACAGAAACTCATGAGGTCCTTTACTCTAGTAGTCACCAAGTATAGAGTTGTCAAAAAAGGTATATTCAACTCCAGGTATTTTAACCAACACTTTTTTTCCCCCCAGTCTGTTGTAACATTTAAAAAGTCACTCTATCTGGGCAAAAAACTACTCAAATTAGGTACAAATGAAATATGTCCAGTCAAGTAGAAATATAAATAATAGAAACTACAGCTAGAGAGTTTATTCTTAGATAACACCATCCTAACACACACACACACAAACTTAAACAGAAGCTTAAACAAAAGCACAGAGAACCAGATGCTTGACAGGGTTGTGCAGGTCAATGCGCTTGGTGTGATATGCTAAGAGCTATACACATATTGCAGACAATTCATTAGCAACTAAATATATAAAAATAGTAGTAATACTAGGTAGTCCTTCTTTTAACCTATTTTGTAAACAAGTCCAAAACAAAACAAAACAATGCATTACCATTAAGTTGATTCCAATTCATAGCTATCCTATAGGACAGAACAGAACTGCCCCATAGAATTTCCAAGGCTGTAAATCTTTACGGAGACAGACTGATAGATCTTTCACCCAGAGTAGCTGGTGGGTTTGAACCAGCGACCATTCAACAGCTGAGTGCTTTAACCACTACATTCCCAAGGCTCCTTAAACAAGTCCAGGATTTATAATAATAGAATAAATAACATCTCAGACTAATTAAATAATGTAAAGAAAGAGTAAGATATCTATAGTAAAGAAGCCTACCATTGTTCTTATCTTACCCATTCACCTTTTCCTATATTTATTTCAAATGTAAGGAAATATGAGCCTTCTGATCTGGACATGTGCTAACAACCATGTCTCATTTTAACAGGAGTTTTCACATGATTATCTTTCTCAGCTCATCTATGCTGTCACTGCCATCAACTCGAAAACAACTCACAGCAACCCCAGCTTCCGAGGCGGTATCTCTACAGAAGTAGGTTACTCAGTCTTCCTTCCGAGGAGTGGCTGGTGGGTTTGAACAGCCAGCCTTCTGGTGAGCAGTCAAATGCCTTAGGCACTATGCCACCAGAGCTCCCTGTGCTATTTACTTCAAGTTATGCTGTTCCAATAGAGGAGTTTGAACCAATACCCAAGAGTAATGGGGGTTTAGTGGAAAAATTCTCATCTTCAATGTGGGAGACTTGAGTCTGATTTCCAGCCAATGCACTTCATGCGTAGCCCCCACCCATCTGTCAGTGGAAGCTTGCATTGTACTATGATGCTGAACAGGGTTCAGAGTTTCTAGACTAAGACAGACCAGAAACTCCTTCCGAAAAAATCAGCCAGTGAAAACCCTATGGATCCCACAGTTTGGTCCCCAACCAATCATAGGGATGATGTAGTACTGAGTTGCCATGAGTCAAAGCCTGACTCAACAGCAGCTAACAGAAACAACAATCACCAATACCCACCCAGGCAAAAGCCAGACAGTTTCCAGTCTAACGCAAAGGAGGAAACACAAACTCAGGAGAATAGGATGCTAAGGTAGAAACAGAAGGCTTCTGTTAAAGACTCAAAGGCTTTAAAAATAAGATTGAAGTGTGAGAATTACTTCATTTGAGTGTAAAAATAAAACTTTGTTTAAAAACAGTTAATATGTTGGGGCAGATGCCAAGCCTAAAATGAGGAATTGAGCCATCTTCCCAAAACAAAAGCACAAAGAGCACTGAGCAGAATAATAATTCATAGAACTTCATTTTGGTAAAGGGACACCAGCAGATTACAGACACCTCTTTTCACAGGACAGATGTAACATCGACAATTTCTCTTACCTGATGTACAAATACATCTTCTTTGGTGTCATTTCTGTTGAAAGACAAAAAGCTCACAAGTAAAGGTACTTGGTATGGGGAAAAAACTTAAAAGATGTTTAACACATTTAGACCCCATGACCTCAAAACACAACATACATTTTTTGTTTATCCTTTAAACTCACTTCAGACTCCTAATCAATCCTCGTTAAAAACTTTTAATCCTGCATGTTACCCACCTTACTCCTACACATTACCACAGTGCTTAGGTTCAGCATAGAGAAACATCTCTCCTATGGCTCTAAATCACGTGGTATGTAATCAGAGCCCTAGACTTTCTTCCCAGCAAAAGCAAAGCAAGACAGTTTAAAAGGACAGGGCACAGCTGTGAACTAGGCTCTCCTTACACTGAAACTTAAAACAGCCTCCCTTTGCCCCACCCCCACCCCCAGCACCAAAACAGACTAGGAATAAACTGGAGGAATGTTCTTAAGAAGTGAGGGAGGGGGGGACCAACAACAACAACAACAACAACAAAACGATATCATCTAAAAACCTCATAGTACTCCCAACAGTTTGCAGTTTCTCATTCCTATAGGGTTAGATGTTACCAAGGCTTAAAGAAAACATTAGTTTCTTCACAGGACTTGAACCAGACCTGGGTTACAGATCCAGCTCAATTACTCACTAGTTGTATGACCTTAGAAAAGTTGCTTAACCAGTCTAAGATCCCATTCCTTCATCTGTGAGATCATGGATATGGACTCAATTATCCTTAAGCCCTCCCCATTCCTGATTGTATTTTGTCTCCTCATTTTTTTCCCTTTAATGAGTAAATTTTATGACATTAACTATTACTATTCTAGAAAGGTATTTTAATTAAGAATGCTGAATGACCAGTGGCTTAAAAATGAGAATATTTATACAACAACAACAACAACAACAACGCACTGCCATCGAGTCAGATCGGACTCATTGCAACCCCTCCTTGGGTTTTTGAGGTGTTACTACTACAGAAGTAGATTGTATTCCTTAAGATTTATACAAGAGGTTTAATAAAGCACGGCAAGAGACCTATTAACTGCCAGTAATATGACCTATGTATTTAAAACACGTAAAGACACACGCACACATACCGATTTATAAATCCATATCCATTTCTGACGTTGAACCATTTGACAGTGCCAAGGACTTTGGTGGCTAAAATAGGATTAAGCAGATAAATTAGTATCTGACCTACAAAGAGATAAATCTTGTATCACTTAGGTCTTGATAGCATTATATAAAGTCCAAACACCTGAGGAAACCATAAAAGCTTAATTTCAAACAAAAAATAGCAGGAAAAGAAAGTGGAACAAGTCAAGGTATCACAAGGAAACATGTTTCAGAGAAGAGTAAAATCTTTCTTCCTTGTTAAACTTTTTAGTAAAGTCATAAAATAAAGAGTGGTCATAAATCTATATAATTCTGCAATAATTAAAATTGAGGAAAGTGCAAAATGTTGAAAAAAAAATGAGAAACACTGAAGAAAAAAAAAGTTAAGATTAATGTTCCAAGTTTTAATACAAAAAAATTTTGTAATAGGAAAAGATGGGCCACAAAGAAGGAGAATGTAGGTAGATGGACAAGGTAAGTACTACACATCATTTTCACACTGTGAAATACCAGGCCAAGGGGCTCCTACCACAGTAGCTTCTTGCTAATAACCAATCTACACAGACATAAAGTAACCTGTCCAGTTGCCAAATGGGGGCCTAGGAGAGGAGTCAAGGGTAATAATAGAACTGATGCTGTCTCAATCCAGTTCTGTATTTACCACCCTGAGACATGATGTAACAGGCCTTTTCAAACCACATGATGAATTTGGGCTTCTGTTTCATTGTTTACCCTACTCTCTGCAGTTGGTGGGAATCAAACTCAGCATTTTCTAGAAAATCCTCCTCTTTTACTTTGTTATTGTCCCTAACTTCTGTCATGAGCAGGACCAACTTTCTAAATCATCAGATTTTAACAAAATTCTTTAAGAGAAGAAATCCAAAAGAAATAGTACAGTCATATTATTTGTACTTTGGAGACTCATATTTATTTCAACCATCTCAAATATGGTCCCTTGAATCAACTGTGAATGCTGAATTCAATACCTCTAGAAAATACCTATGTCTAAATTCAGGAAATGCATAAAATAATTATGAAGACTCAATAAAAGAAGCCTGATGAGATAGTACCTTTAAAAAAAAAAAAAGAGGAGGAAAAGTAACAATTATCATTAAGCCTCTCTCTAAAATTTAGTTTATAATGTCTAAGCATAAATAATACAATTCTGTTTTGTAAATTCAGTGCTAAGACTGTAATTAGGACTTGTTCAGTGTGGGGGCAGGGTTAGTTCTGAGTTTTGCTACACTGGTAATGCTTTAGGGAGTATTTTAGCTCTCTTTTTAAAAAAAAAAAAAAAAAAAAAAGTCTCTAAGCAAAGTCATTCATCCCACATTGACTAAGCATTCTCCAGCTCTAATTCTAATTAGGGAAGATCAAACCACTGGAATCTTTAGTTTGAGGTCATTCTAATTAGAGTAGCAGGGCAAAGGAGGAAAAAAACGTTTGATGTTTTAGACCCAAAAGTGTATAGAAGAAACCTGTTTTGAATAAATTATATGCTTTTAAGTCATACGTTATTCCAAATGATACATTTTTTGTGACTCCTCTCATTTGGCCAAATATGAAGCCTAGGAAAATATAAAGATAGGAACTGCTATGATTAATTTTATATAGTTACTATCTAGGACTGTCAAAGGGATAATTGTGATTAGAAAGACAACACTAAATAATGGGGAAGGGGGAGGTAAGAAATGATTTTCAAGTCTAATTTCGATCTGTGCTGAAGATTATTTTTTTGAAAAAAAATCCTAATTCCATAAATATTTCCAAGAGCTTCTTATGGCCAAACATTCACTCACACTTATGGCTTCTTTAAAACCATAAATCCACCTCACATACACAAAAGGACAGGCGGCTGGGGAAGTCCATGACCATAAAGCTTCTATAATGGTCATTAAAGGAGACCCTGGGTGGTGCCAATGGTTAAGCCCCTCAGCTGCTAACAGAAAGGTGAGAGGTGTGACTCTTCAGAGAGCATCAGAAGAAAAGACCCAGCAATCTACTTCCAAAAAATCAGCCACTGAACCCTATGGAGCACAGTTCTACTCTCATAAAATAAATGGGGTTGGCAGGAATTAAATCCACAACAACCAATTTTAAAGTTCATTAGAAGGAAGTTTTGTTCCAGTCATTTAAATAGTTTTCTCTGACCTATGTGTTACACACTGAAGACCCATCTGTAAAAACTAGAATGGGCAAAGCCAAGAACAGATTTCCATTTCAGTCAGAAAACTTGTGTGTAGCACCTCTTAGGGATGCAAGTGTTTGCTTGACAAAGGAAAGGTGATGGCAGAACACAATGTCAGAGGCAACAGTGTTGAAGTGTCATGATGAAGTTTGCCCATTTTGATTGTAAGAGTTCTAGGGGAAAGACCAAGGACTACAAGGCCAGATCTGCTAGAGGCTGTGTAGCAGTTGGTGATTGAGGAAATAAACTTTATCTGTTTTCTTCATCTTTCAACTAAAGATACCTGCTTTCCCTAAACTGGAAGGGTACAAAGACCAAAACAAAAACTGCCAAAGTTTCTGTACACAAAAATAACTTGCATCATTAAGAATTATAACTTAACACTGCTTTGACTAACCCAAGGTTGTCTTTCTGGGACATTCTGCATAGAAGTAATCTAAGAAACACTTGCTGGAAACAGTATCACAACACAGTATGACTAGCTTTAGGCAGCTTAAATGCAGGACAAAGAGGTCTATATTGTTTCCTGGTCTACACAGGTTCCATTTAGTACGTAGTTTGACAGTACCTAAGCAAAAGCATTGGAAAACCTGGCTTCTCAAACTGGGAGTACTGAATCGTATTATACTTCATCTTAATTTGCTGGCAAGACCCAGAGATATCTGACAAACATGCCCCACCCAAAATACTGAAATTTTTTTTCTGAAGCATCCTACACCCACCTGTTAACTTTCTTGTTTAAAAGAGAGTGAATGATATAAGCACACACCCTCACCACCCACATGCTTTGTAAGCCTGTTCAAGGCCTCACACAGAGTGTTACTTAAGGGAGTAGAGAAGGCTGAAATACGTGGCAAAAACAACCACCACTACTGAAACCCTTTTCTATTGCTCTGCCCCACAGTTGACCGTCTCACCTTCTTGTTTCCCTTACTAAGTCCCAAGGCAAGATGTTTTGAACGTCCTGCCCACACTTGTGAGGAAATTTTTTCAGCTGCTGTACCACGTGCGTTCCCACAGTCCAGGAAGAGAAAAACGAGTAACGATTGGTAGACACTTAATAGTTCTTTGCGGCAGGGGCCACAGAGGCAGACAGGAGGAGGTGGGACCCAGATGCAAGTTTCCCGGGGAGGACTGCAACACCTCTTTGTGGGCATGTGGCCGACAGGAGCATGGCGTCTTTCCCAAGCCCATGTGGGAAGGGCGTCAGAGACTGACACCTGAACCTTCCCAGCAAAAAGCCTTGCACATTTCCCTCCCCGTCTCCTCCTAACGCTTCACTCCTCTCCACAGAAAATCCTTTCCTTCCTCAAATGCCAAGCAAACACTCTTAAACCCTAGACTCCTAACTCCCAGCCCACGTGTCTCTCCCCTACATTCACAAGCATCTCTACCCTATTCTCCATTCTCAGACCCATGCTCCTTTTTTCTCTGTTCCCAGACGTTATCTAGTACAGGATTTTGCGACGGTGTCTGTCTGGGTGACAGAAGTTAAGCTGGTAACTTACTGGCCCAGGACCAGGGAAGACGCGCACCGGGCAGCGAGGGGTGCAGGGCGCGGTGCGCTTACCTGTGAATGCCAGCAGAGCGAGCAGACAGTGACCACTGGCGCTGGGGACCCGAGGTCCCCGCGGACCCCGGGCTGTCAACCTCTCCCGCCCGGGGGGGAAATCCAGCGGGAGCTGCGCCCACGTGCTCGGCCTGCCCGCCCTACCTCCAGCCGCCCTTATACTCCCGGGCCTGACTCACCGAGAACTTTTTTCTCCGCGTCTTCGCTGCCGGCGGTGACTGAAGAGGCCGTGGCTGCGGTGTTCGCGGCTGCAGGGGCCGCGTCCCCACCAGCGTTTCCTGAGACAAGGGCGGTGGGTGCCTGGGCCGCGGCCTGGGACGCGCCGCTGCCCGCCGGGCTCTTGGGCGCGGGGTCCTGGGGGGCCACGGCGGCCGCCTCCGCCGGAGCCTGCGGGAGGGTGGTGGTGGTGGTGGCCTCGCCCGCCTCGCTCATGCCGCCTCCTCTGCTCTCACTCGGGCACCTCCGGTGGCAGTTGGTCGGCGGTTAGCGCGGCTGGTGGTCGCGGCGGCCGGGGCTCGTTCTCCAGGAGGCCGGTGGGGATCTCGCGGCGCAGGCGGCGGCGGCCGAGGTGGGATCTCGCGGCGGAGGCGGCTCGAGCTCTTGGGCTGCGCCCTCGCTGTTGGGCTCCTCGCTGGATCTTACTGCCCCAAAAATGGCCCCGCACAAGTTTTTCTAGGCGGCGCACCAGCCTGGGAGGGAAGGGCGGGCGAGGGAAGAGGGTGGGGAAACTTGGCTCCAGAGTTGGGCATTGATTCTCATTAGCATTTAAAGGAGCCCGGTGCCCTTTCCAACTTGCCAACCCACCCGCTAGTGGAGCGAAGGAGCCGAGTTGGAGATCAAAAGAAAGCAAGAGTTAACTGTGGGATTTAGATTGCAATCTGGATTATTTGAGGAAAAGGCGCTGCTGTCCCTTTGCTGGTGCGCGCCAGAGAGACTCTCTCCGTCAGGACATCTTGACACTTGAAACTGACTCCGAAAGAAAGGTAAAATAGGACTTCCACATTACGCTGCGCTGCACACTCTCAAACATTCGTCTTAAATCCTTTACAGTTAGTCATTCAACATTTATCAAGCTCCAGAAGCAATTTAGGAAACAACAATGAAGAAGTGGAATAATAAAATCTTAAATTTATTTTGCAACCTGTGCCCGAAAGGTAATTTACAGATAATTTAATCTATAGCCTACAGGTGGGAAAAATGAAGTCCAGACTTTAGGGGAATAAATGTAAATGTCAGAGCTTACATCGATTTAACATAAGCAAATGATGGGCTGTTAATGTGTATTTAATAATGTAAATAGGAAAAAAAATTGTCAATCCACATTTTACCTTCTTCTCCAATTGACTCTGGTGCCTACTACTTGGTGAAAACTTAAGCAACTGAGCCCTTTTAGCCTCAGGGATGTAAAGTATTGATAAATGATAACCTAATAAAAGTTTTTCTCTGTTTAAAGAGCTCATGTGGCCTGTAGAGAACGGTATGGATTGTGCTAAATATGTGGCCACAGGGAGTATGTCTTGAATGCAGGGACTACCTAGAACAGACAACTAGTGTTCTCTACCTCTAATATCAAGGTATAAATTGTGGCTTTGCTCAGTGTTAAGAGAGTTAACTTGGCCAGTATTCAATATTCCAGAGTCAGTTTCCTCCTTTATGGGATGAGGGGCTGTGAAAAGTAGATGAGATTATTATATGTAACTCCAGTGTCTGGTTCAGAAAAGATCTTGATTATTAGCACTCTGTCTCTATTTTGCATTCCTTGTTCCTTCCACAGTATTTACCTATTTTTTCTTGAAATTTATCCCCTTACCTGGCTGTCTGCCAACTTCAGAAGGCTAGCAATCTAGGCTAATTCATCTTTGTATCCCTACTGGTTAGCACAGTAGCTAGTGGAGAGCTAGAACGGAGTAAATAAAAAATTATCAAAATTTTTCAAATTCATTTATCTCACATTCATTATCAATTATTATGAAACTACCCTGCCTTCTTATTTCTTATTCCATAGGTGAAAAACCCAAATTAAAGAAAATAAATTCTTAGAAAAAATTAGCAAAATATAGAATTTTGGGCTTTTTCCATGTAATTAACCTGTATTTTACAAACTCCTAAGTATTAGATTCGTATTTTAGTTTGACTTCAATATGGAGTATATAATAACATAATACATATGTGGGTGCTTAAAAAGAAACTTCTAGTCTAATTCTAAAATAATTAAATTAGATCCTAATTTTTAAAGATGATAGTCTTAATTAAAATTAAAAAACAAACCAAAAAATAACAAACCCACTGCATCAAGTTGATTCTGACTCATAGCAACCCCACTGGGTTTCCAAGGCAGTAAATCTTTACGGAAATAGATTGCTCACTCTTGCTTCTGTGGAGTGGCTGGTGGGTTTGAACCACCAACCAAAATTAAATAATAAGCATGATTTATTCTGGTGAAGACTGACTATTGGCTTTTTTATCCAACAATATGATTATCGTTGTTATTTACCATGTACAATTTGATGGCAAAAAAAAAAAAATGAAGAGAGTTGAATTCTTCAAATCATTTCAAATAGTCAAACATGTTCTGATATACATTCACTCTTCGAAAATAATTTATAACTAACAGGTGTGCTCTCCAATCTCTGGAAGGCCTTAAAATAATTACAGAGCCAATGCACCCTGGAATTTCCTAGATTTTGTGCTGGAATGGCTCCCATAATTACTCATCGTTTTCATCAACAAGAAAAGGGGGGGGGCACTGAGCTACTGGGAATCTTGGTACTGTGCTAAATACATCTAGAGAGAATTAATTAGAAAACATGATCTATGTTGTTGTAATATTCATAGCTAGAGAGCAACTTGGACACAGATGCACATAAATTTGTCCATTCTTTCACTCATCCATTAATTGTTGTTGTTGTTGTTATGTGCCGTTGAGTCAGACCCGACTCATAGCCACACCTCCTTGGGTTTCCAAGGCAGTTATCACTACCGAAGTAGATTGCCCCACCTTCCTTCTGAGGAGTGGCTAGTGGGTTTGAACTGCCAGCCTTCTGGTTAGCAGTCAAGTGCCTTAGGTACTATGCTACCAGAGCTCCATTAATACATGCACTCATTACAACATATTAAGCATCCACTATGTGCCAGAGTGCTAGGTTACTAGTATCCAATGTTGATCAAGATGGAGCTTGCTCTAAGATATTTTTGATGTAATGTTAAATAATCCCTTTTCCCCCACCATCATTATTTATACTGTAAGAAAATACCATTTCTAAAACAAAAAATATGTATGATTTCTTAAATTTGTGATTAAGTAGAATAAAAATAATCATAATCTGTTTTTTGATAGCAATCATTTTTTAGCAATGACTGGTTAGGTTGTGAAAACAAAAGCCACTCTGTTCCAAGTATGAGGGGGCTCAGAGTTTCCCCAACTGTTTGCCTGGCTCGGGACTGGAAAGTCAGAGAGGCTCTACTGAAGATCTCAGACTCCAGCCGCAAAAGGGGGTGGTTCTCAAGAATTCTCCTAAACTCACTGGAATCACAGGATCTCTTGAATTTCCCAGTGATTCATGCCTAGATCCAGGTTTTGTAAGTCCTAAAGCTTATGCAATCAAGAGAACTCTCTTTAAGAAATAAATATAAAATTTTGAATACAGAATTGCTAGGGCTGCTACCAGGGTTTTGGGGCCCATGCCAAAGAGAATCCCTGAAGCTTATACTTTGTTAGCTTTAAGGCAAACTGCCCCTGCCCCAGCTGTCTCAGTTGCCAACACAGATACAGGTGCTCTTCAAGAAGTTTATCTGGAAACAGCTTTGAACCTCCATCTGCCCATATATCTTTATGTAACTGACTCTGAAAAATAATAGTCTCCTCTTCTGCCTTCTAAATCTTGAGCAAATGTGTCTTATTGGCAGATTCCAACCTGGAACCATACAGAGAAGGAGATTCTGAAATGATTCCTGTTGGTGGCACAGTGCCTAAGGCATTTGACTGCTAACCAGAAGATTTGCGGTTCAAACCCACCAGCCACTCAGAAGGAAGGCAATCTACTTCCATAAAGATTTACTGCCTCGGACACCCAAGGAGGGGTCATTATGAGTTCGATTCTACTCAACAGCAGTGGGTTTGGTTTTGGTTTAACAATGATGCTAAGTTGACAAGAAGACTATCCAGCATATCACTTGTTCAAGGGGCTAGAGTTAAAGTAACAAAGCACTGATACATTGGCATATCTATTACTGTAAAACAATGAAATATTAATCTAACCTGATTGATGCTAAAACAACACAGTAGGGAATGGTCATCTTGCTAAATAAGTAAATAAATAAATTAGAGGAATAAGAGAGTAAAGCCATCTCAGGGTATCTCCAGTAATGTTCAGAGACAAGTGTACCATGATTATTATGCTCTGTTTGGCATTCCCTAATAATACTATCAATATATTTCTTGATCATTCATGTTAAGTACTAATGATACCATGGGAAACAAGACAAGCATGCCCCTGTATTCCCGGAGCCTATGACTTAGACCATTACAATCCAATTGAAATATAATTCGGGCCCCAAATGTAAACCACATATGTAGATTTAAGTTTTCTAGTAGCCACAATAAAAAGAAACAAATAAAATTAATTTGAACACATTTTTCTTAACCAAATATATCCACAATATTATCTTTTTGACATTTAATCAATTTAAAAATTATGAATGGCATATTTTACATTCTTTTTTTTTCTTTGTACTGACTTCAACCTCTGTTAATGTATTTCACACTTACAGCACATCTCAATTTGGACTGACCATATATCCAATGCTCAGTGTGCTGGTAGCTACCATATTGAGTAGCACAAGTTTTCCAAACAACTAAGAGTTTAGCCTGAATTCTCCAGGAGCCAATCTACCTGTCATTAAGAAAAAGTCCTGGACCTGTGTGTGGACCACACATCAGTCTGTTGTGACCTATCAACATAATGCTACTTATCAGGCTACCTTGATCTTCCTTTATGATACGTAATATCCAAGGAATCCAAAGAATTTACAAGAACCATAATTCTATAGTTGTGAATAATTATAGGATGCTATCACTAATAAACTCTCAGATATATAAACAAAGTTTATTTACACTGTCCATTCCAGGCCACCACTACATTTTCAGACATACACACTGCTTCTTTAACTCTAATATATGTAATGGCATACCAAAGTGAAACTATATTATGGGCTTTTTTTCTTTTTCATTAAATAGAGCTAAGAGTGGAGTGGGGGATGGACTGTAATTTCATTCTCCTGCTATGAGAAGTTGGATTTAGAATTCAGAAAATATTACACCTCTAGACCTGAAATTATTAAGGCAGAAAAAGAGGCAATTACCGAGAGGTTATAATAGGTTAAAAAAGAAAGAAAGAAGGCTTTATGGAAGTTTCACCTTCTAAAAAAAATTTTTTTTTTGCATCTATTTTTTTTTCTAAATGATTTTGACAGGTCCTTAATGTTTTTAAACTAGCAAATTTATGTACTTTTAGTGGAAGAACTTGGAAAGATTGTCTACTAAAGAAG